AGACTTACAGCTGCTTTGTTAATTGCCTGTTGCTGCTGTCTTACCCCAGTCATTATTTGCTGAGGGCTGTGCATTTTCAGCAGGCTGCGATCTTGGCCCTGGCCCAGGGCCGGGTGAGGAGCATGTTGGAAATTGATGAAAGCTGAGTCCTAGTTTGTTTGGAAATAAAAGTAGTAATATTTCCTCACATTTTTATAGTGCTTGCTGTTGGCATGGTTCTTTTGTATCCATCATCTCATTTGATCCACACAATAGCCCTGAGAAGTGGGCAAGTCAGAGACCATTGGCCCAAAAGGAACTGCACCTCACTATAGCAATGCAGAAGCTCAAGCCATTCCAGCAATGCCAACCTCATGCCATGCGTTCCATCTGCGGAGCCATGAACATAGCAATTAATTAAATGGCACCTTAGGCCGGGAGAGCTTCCAGGATTTTAAAACCATGCTTTGAAGGTCTTTAGGGAGCGAGATGTACACTGACGGGCCATGTGTCCATTTTATAGATGAGACAATCGAAAGTAAATAGAGGGAATATGGAAAAAAAAGAAGTATAATATCGAGGCCGACTTGAACCTTTATGGACTTGGCTCTTCACCCTAGATATTTTAGAAAAATCCCTCTGAACATTTGCTGCAAAGTTTGTTGGACATCCACAATTAGTCTAAGTTGAGGGAGAAAACCTGGGCTCATGTCCTCGAAGCTAATGATTCAGCTGTGCAGATTTATATCTTTCAGTGCATTTGTGGTGATAATCTCTTCTGCAGATGCACAGGCAGCTTGTAACTTTCTGGGTCTCCTTTCTTTTGACTCTGGAGTCATTCCCTCTCTAGTACAGTATGATGTTTTCTTGATCTTCCTCCTGAAAAATTTTTTAAGTAAGAAAAATACTCCTGGATATTTTGTCTGCTTTTTAGGGATTAGTGTTTGAGGAGGTTTGCAGCTGTTCAGCACATTCCTGAGGGAAGCAGCCCCTTTTCTTTAAATGCCCAAGTATTACACAACCTGAGGCTCTGGGGGTGGGGAAAGTAAAGAGACTGTACAAACAAATGATAGATGGAAAAGACGTAAAGACAAATTTCAGTCTCCTAACCAAATGAAGTTCCCTTGGCTCCAGAGGCCCCAAATAAAATGAGGCTGCAAAGCTTCTGGAGCAGGAAACCACTCTAGCAGAGCCTTAATATGCTCCCTATGAAATCACGTCTCGTGGACTTGCTTATTTTCCAGCCCGAAGTGTGTTTCATCTTTGTTCATGTTGGCTGGGAAAATCGTCTGCATGGTATATTTGTGATCCCCTCCTCCCGCATTCCCTGTACCTCTCCTGCCCCAACTTTTCCCAAAAATAAATGAATGAGTTAATTAAAACACCTCGGTTCAAAGGAGGAATATGTGTGAAAAAGCATATGAACTCAAAGGACCAGTGTATGAAAAGCTGCAGTAGTAGTAAAAGAGACTGAAAACCCCTAAGAAACAGACAACAGGGTCTAATGCTGGGTTTTTCTTGAAGCAATAGACTCTTTTTTAAAAAATAAAAATCTTGCATAGAACCCCAATATATGAAACAGATCAAAGCAGCATTTTTGTTGATATAAATCTACTTCGAAAGTACAAATTTATAAAGAGTACTTATTACAGAGTCAATGAGAACAATGAGGCTGTGTTTATGAAATAAAAATATTGAAATCAGGATTATTAATAAGAGTTTAATTATTAATTATTAATAAGAGTTACAGTTTTATATCAGTTTCAGTATCTAAGACATTTCTGGTTTTGTTTTGGATAGTCCGACATCAAGAAAATCTTGATTCATACAGATGAGTTATTATAATCTTGAGATAATGTTAAATTGATTTAGATGTTTGAAAAATAAGATTTTTGTTTTAAAGTTGAATCACTAATGTTACCTAGCAGCTATTCCCATTCCCCTTCATAAATCTTAATTGGATAAGCCCCAACATGTATAATAAGCACTGCAACAATTGATAATGAGATGGCATGGCACTGAACATGTCGATTCTCACTGCCCAACCATGGTCTACCATGAGCCCAGCATAGGCCCCTGAGCCTTCGGTGGCATGTAGTTGAACCTGGCTGCTGTGTGTCAAGTTGCGTGTTCACCTGTACAGCTTTACCTGAGGAAGCTCATGCAGGCTTGCATGAAAAAATAAGCCTGTGCAGAGCTACATCCATTCCTACCGATAGCACATTGTTCAGAGGTTCTGGAGCATGCAGTGATTCTTCATTCTAGGGCTTGCGTACAGCAAAGCTCACTTAGCAGCCCTTGAGACATTGTGGTGGCATCTAATGCAGAGAAACTGTGTCCTGGGTCCCTTGCTCATTTGAATGTAGGTTGCTCATTTGAATGGATGTGCTACAGTTGTTTTAATTGAAATGTGATTTTTTGTTAATTCCAAAGTATCTCTGAACATAGCTTGAAAGCTCCTGCTCAGTGAAACCAGTAATAGTACTGTAGCTATCCCACTATATGCTGTAAGGATGGAAATAAATACATGTGGTAAAAGTACTTGTGGCACCTTAAAAGTTCTTAAAATTTATTAGTGTTAAGTGATGAAGCATTTTATTTTAAAAGATTTCCACTTCCACTCACCCTCTTTATTAACCCATCTTTGTTTATTCATCCTTTCTTCCAAGGGTGCCTGGGGATTGTGTATCCTTTTCCACGGTGTCAGGTTGGTTTTGCCTCCCCAGCCTCCTCTGTGATCTGTGCTATACATTTGTGAGCTAGCTGGCCTTCTATTAAAATTCTGTTTTATTATAGATCTTTCTTTGTCTCCCACACTACATTGTGACATTGGTACTTTTGTAACTACTAAAGCACCTAATACTTCACCTTGTTCATTTAAGATATAAGTGTTTATACATTGGTGGAATTGAATTGTAGCATCATTTTTGTGTGTGTAAAGCGCCATAGAAAAAGAACTAATATAGACCACCAACCCGTGTTCTTTCTCCCCTAAGAAGCGGATTGAAACCAATTGTCAATTTAAGGTCTGGTGAGACGTGTGCTTTTAAAAAGCAAGTGTGCGATTGCCTGGTCTAGTCCATGCTTACTGAGGACGTGGGTATGTTGCCAAGAGAAACCACTTGATAAAAATGTAAATTAAAGTATTTAGAATTTTGTAACTGAAACCAACTTATAATCAATTTGAAAGTTTTCTTGCAATGGAAACATCCAATGTCATTGAATACATGTGCTCAAATCTCTCACTATTTTGAATTTAGGATTGTTTCCTGTTCACTTTTTTTTTCAGATGCCAAATATTTTGAAAGGCATGGCTTAATTATATGTGTCTCTCCCTCTCAGCTAGTAAATTTTTTATTTCCATAGAAATCTTTTAACTTCCCTAGAAAAGTAAGTGGACATAATGTTATCATAGTACTTGGCACATAAATGTTAGTGATTTTGGCTACAGAAAAGTGACGCCTGGGGCAGGGGGTGAGGGTAGAGGAACAGGTTTAGAACAGTTTCAAGTTGGACTCTAATATTCATTGGTTTGAAGCAACTTCTTGGTTTCGGTTAGACAGATTTTTTATTTGTCTGATGTGTTCTGAAGCCCAAGTAGGTGTGGCATGATTATTCGTTAGGAGTTATTACTACAGAATTGGAAAAGCCCTTCTAAGTTGAACTCTTCCACGCTTTACAAATTGCAGCTGCTTGGCAGCCTTCAGCCCTGAATAGAGGCAGTGCTGACTCAAGAACCAAGCCACTCGCAACTCACTTTCTTTGCATTAAGAGTTTGACTGGAGAGAGGAAAAGGAAGAGGGGAAAGGGGAATGAACACATTGTGATTCTTTGCAGTGGTTGAAAGTACTCTCTTACAGGCTTGGTTTGAATTCCAGCATTGCTAGTTTTTAGCTATGTGACCTTGAGCAAAGTGTTTAACCTTTTTTAGTCCAATTTTCCTCATCTGCCAAATGTGCTTAATCACACCCACCTCATCAGGTAATTGTGGGGTTTAAGTTAAACAACATGTGGAAACGGCCCAGCCATATGCTAAGTATACAGTATCCCTTGATAAATAGTGCTGTAAATGATTCCTACTTTCTGTTTCTCTCCTTAAAGAAATTCAACTTCCAGATGCAGAACTTTCTGTTGCTTAAATTAGTGCTGTGAACTGAGGAGGTAATCAATAATTCTTTTGGATCACAATGTTTTCATTAGAAATAAGTATCTAGGTTTAGCATTTTAGTGCTCCCCTCAAGCTGTAGACATGTCAGGAACATATATGTTCAGATATGGTTTGTATTCTTGGTTGTATGGGACATGAGATGATGGCTCAGTCAATGAAATCAAAACCTCCTTGTATGTTCCACAGAACTCTACAGTTTTCAGTGACTTTTTCGTGGCAAATGTCTCCAAAATTGTCATTACTGAATGCTACAATGGAAAAATTTGTGGGGATTTAGTCTGTAGTGCACTAGACAAAAACTCTAACTTTTGTCTCTAGCCCTAGAGACAAACCAAATGACTTGGTGGCTAAGGTTATGGACTTTGGACTCAGATAGCCGAGACTTTTTCCAGCCAGACAATTTTTGAGCTGTTGTTCTAGTCCCTGTGTGACTCTTAACTGGCTGTGGGCAAGTTATACCTTCTCTGGGCCTCAGTTTTCCAATCAGTAAAATGGGGATAATGGTAGTTTTTTCTTACAGTGAAATGATGGAGTTTAGATGACATAATACATATAAAGCATTCACCAAGTCCTTAGAACACAGTAGGTGCTCAACAGATAGTTCTGCTTCTCCTCCTCCTTCTTCTCTTTCCCTCTTTCTTTCCCCTCCCTCTCCTTGTTATTCTTATATTCTCCTTTTTTCTCCACTGAGTTTTTAGAACAGGAGAAAACTAGAGAGATGGGCTTTAGGAAAGTATCTTTGTTTCTGGTTTGGATTTGATTGCTGTGATTTTATGACGTGGACTATAGTTGTAGATGTTGACCTTGCCGCTTACCAGCAATGAATTTTTTTCCCCTTGCTGTTTCTCTGCAGGAAGGATCAGAATGTTCTCTCACCAGTCAACTGCTGGAATCTCCTCTTAAACCAGGTGAAGCGGGAGAGCAGGGACCACACCACCCTGAGTGACATCTACCTGAATAATATCATTCCTCGGTTTGTCCAAGTCAGCGAGGACTCAGGAAGACTCTTCAAAAAGGTATAGAGATATTACTAGTCACAGAGGTTCTTGGATTGAGCAATGACACAATCTTGTAAATAAAAGAGAGAATATATTATTGGCCTACTTAATAGGCTTTCCACTGGTCATTCTGCACCACATACCTGTGGAGAAAAAATATTTGAATTGCCATTCTTTTCTTCCTTTCTGAGCTGAATTAATAGTAGCCCTGGGAAAGTAACCATTTGCAAGGTGCAATCCCAGGGTCGTACCTTCATGTGGTACCTATGAATAATATATGCATATATTAATAACTGTGTTTTGGGAAGTTTTCTTAAGGTAAATTGTGAAGCTGTTGAGCTTTGGGAACATTGAGTGTCATTTTTCATGTTTTTCTCTTCTAGTTCATTTAGCAAATTCATGTATGTTTGTGTTTTTGCTTTAGTTGTCTCTCCAAGTTCTCATCTTGGCCAAGGTAGACTCATGAATTTGGTTATTCTTATCATGACATGTCTTTGTCTTTGGGTGATTGAATGCTTTCTGAAGCTCAATTGTTAGCACAATTCTTGAGTGTAGGTTGAGCCATTTGATAAAGGAAAACTCAAACAGTGATCTTAAGGACTTTCTGCCAAATTCACCTTACCTGTCAGTGGTGGAACCAGCCTTTTGGAAACCCAGGAACCTCTTTTCTAAGCTCTCTCAGCTTGAGCTCACAGTGTAATCAGCTATTCATGAAGTTTGGTTGCAAATGGTGGCAAAGGCCCCAACCATTGTGTGTGATAGGCCATGTCTAACGTTCAAGCTTCGACATCCTCTGAAGACTTTTCAGAAGGCAAATAATTCTCCTACAAGTCATAGGTAGAAAGAGGTTATATAGGGCTATTTAGAATTCATCAATTTCCAGTTGACAAAATTTAGTATTAAGATTTGAGGCTATGAGAGAAAAGACTGTAGTAAACAGGATTGTGGTTGATTTAGCCATAGCTCAGTTTTCCAATTCTTAATATTAGGAAGTTTTCCAGTTTTTGCTAGATCTGAAATTAATACCTAATTTCTCCTGTTTTTACCAGCCTGATAAAATATCTGATTTAGAATCTTCTATCTACATAATTGCATCCATGAGGGGGCTTTCCCTTTGTCTTAGAGACAGAATATTGAGGGTACAAACAGCTGACAAAGAAAAGAAGGAAGAGAACAATAACTCCTCCCAGAGCTCACTGGCTATTTTTAGTGGCCCGGCTGTGCTGTGGTTGGGGCCACACTTCATTTGGGGGTGAGGGTACTTTTCACTGTCTCTTCCATGGTTTCCAGCATCTTCTCTAGCTTGCTTGTCACTAATTTGAGTTATTCCGCAGTACTCAGTGATGTGTGTGTGTGACTAAAATTAAAACCTATTTAGGTGAAACCTTGACAGTAATTGAGTACCACCTCAGCTCTTCTCTGTGACCATGACAACCATTTGACTATGTCAAGAAGGAAAGGGATTGACTGATAGTTTCCACCTCAATTTTCTCTGTTCATCTAAGAAAAAACTTTGGCGAGAGATATTCACTTAGCTAGAATTTACCCAATCTCTCAGCTCCCTTTTCTCCCAGCCTTAGAAGGTTAGAGAAGAACCTAGCTGACTCTTAGAGCCTCTCCAGATCTCAGAGGTGTGTATGCTGAAGGCAGCCAGATAGCAAAGCCGTGAGTGTACCTGGCTCTTCAAGTGTGCCATACGCATTTCACTGAAGATCTGTGTGCATGGCACATATACAAGGCACGGGGCATATGACCTCCAGAAGGAAAATCCAGCCATGAATGATTCTCCTAGCTCTGAGCTCAGGGCTGACCTCCTTAAGCTCATTTGTATGCTAGAGTGTAAGGAAGAACTTATTTCTCACAGGACCTTAATACATTACATTTCATTGAAAAAAGTACACATAAGTTTATACCTAAATACATTTTCACTAACTGAATATACTTGTGTAATCAGCTGCCAGATCAAGAATCAGAACATTTAACCCCCTGTGCTCGGGCTCCCATCTAGTCACTCCCCACCTCCAAATCCCCAAGGATAACAACTGTCCTGAATTTTAACAGCAGAGATTAGTTTTGCTTAGTTTCATACTTTATGTAAATAGAATCATACGGTATGTACTCTTTTGTGTCTGGTTTTTCTCATTCAACATTATGTTTGGGAGATTTATTCATACTGTTGTGTATAGCTGCAGATCATAGGACTTTCTCTTGGTCTTTATAAGTTTGCATCAGTTAAATTGTAGTTGACTAGAGACACGCATAGGATTGTTGAATGGCCAATGACTGCTATCCCACAGGGTGAGCAATCTCTTCTCTCTCTCCCTTGGAGTTCCAGTGCAGACAGGGAGCTCTAAGGTACAAGCTGGTTGGAAGATCATAAGAATAGATGTATTCTATTTTGGCTGGGCCAGAGCCTCTCCGCTTTCTAGAAACATTCTTTATGCTCTAATTTTTCAATCTCTTTTGTTTAGAGTGTGTTGCATGTGAAGAATTAGAGTCCCACTGGTTAATACATAGTAATCAGACAAGAGACCTAAGGAATATGCCTGGCCAGTCTGTTATGTGAATCTCCCCTGGGCTTGCTTTGCACTGTCAGAGCAGAGACCTTTTCCAAGTGATCCTTTCTCTTGGGCCTAGCTCTGCTATTAACTCTAAGACTCTGGACAATTACTTCTTTCTGAGCCTCAGTTCCCTAAACTTTAAAAAAAAAGAGTTTGGGCTATATGATTCCCATGGTACCTTCTAAATCCAATATACTACAATTCTATGATGACGAGGGTATCCTGGTGGGTGAGGCGGGGGGTTCCTTCTGATTGTTGGGTAACATTTGCTAAATTGTGATAGGTAAATTGCACTCCCAGAGATAAGGACAAAACAAAAGTAGGTGTGGGCATGGAGAGGGCTAGCTTAAGCAAATGAAGACTGAATTTCTTGAGGAATGAAGCATTGTTTCAGATGCTGCTATCTACAATGACCAGCAACCAAGAGATGCCAAACTGAGATCCAAATGTATAAAATAGATAGGTGTATCTTTTGTTTTTACAGTAAATTTGGTTCCAGTAGCAAAAGGAAAATCCATCTCTCTAGAGCCATAGACTTCAGAAAAGATACCTTTATTTCAGGTTTGACTATGGACACCTGTCCTTTATGTGAATTTGCATGTATTTGTCATGAGCAAAAGTCATAGATTTTCTTCTTTTTTAAATTCTTTTTTTTAAAAAATCTATTAAACTTAACAATTCACTGGTAAAAGTTGTGATAATAAAAATCAGTATTTTTTTGAACCCTTTTTGCCAGGTACTGTGTTAAGCACCTTATATACATTATCTCCTTTAGTCCTTACAATAATTCTATAATGTGGTTACTCTTATTATCATCATCCCTATTTTATGAAGATGGAAACTGAGGCTTAAAGACATTAAGCAAAAATGAGGTGAAGCTATTGTTTAAATCCAGTTATCTAGCTCTAGAACCCAATGTTTTCATCTAAATGAAAACCAGTATTCTTTCTATATGGAGTGCAGGGAAGAGAGTTTTATGAATTTTCTCATTCTTTTCCATTGAATTTAGATATTTCATTTAGTTATAGAATTAATCTAATCTTTTGCACACAAACCTTCACAGGGTATGGAGGCATTAAACATCAACATTGGGTTGTTTCTCTTACCTGGGGTTGAGACAAGCAGCTGAAAGTTGGGAGGGAAATAGGGCAGTATGTTTATTCTCCCCAGGGACAGAATGTCTCTGTCCCTCTATGAGAGAAACAAAGACTCATTAAATGTGAGAACTGGCCAAAAATCTGGCTCACAGCTAATTTAGCTAATTTGGGGATGTCAGGGTGGCTGCACAATTGGCCTCTCTATGCTACTGGACCCCCTTAAGGGATGCACCCTGCTAGCCCTCCGGTTTGTGGTTATGTCTGCTGGGACATATTTTACATTTTGCATTGAAGCATGTTGGAGATTCCTTTAGCTAAATATAACATCTGGAGAAAGTAGCCTCCTGTCCACAGCTTAAAAACAGACCGACTTTGTCTAGGACTCCAGGGAAAATTGAGCCCATTTGGTGCTCCTGACATCTCCTTTCATGTAATGAAAGCTCAGTCTGTCTAATCCCTGTTGGAACTAAGGTTTGGGCAAATATTATTGCTGTCACCTTCATTTGTTTAATGCGGGGCTTCAAAAAACGGTGGCCAAACGCTGCCAAGTTTGGCTGCCATCTTCATGTGGTCTCTGTAAAAGGTATGTTCTAAAGAATCCCACCAGGAACACAAATAATTTTTCCCACTTGCTCGGTTTAAACTGAAGTAAACTTGGATGTGCTTTTTCCCACAGGAGAGAGGACAATCCTGTTCTCTCTTCCTCGTTTTACTTAGCTGGAAAACACTAAAAGTACCTCTGACTTTTCTGTCACTGTTTCTAGCCCTTGACAGCTGCTCACACTTAAGTTTGGAAGCTGGTCAATTCAGACAGTCCTAACACTCTCAATTGCACCCTTGTTTTTACAGTACTCCAGTTAACTGTACTCCTTTTTTGCCTTTAGTATTCGAAGTTTCTGTGGCAAAAACTCAGGTTAAATTGAGAGAGCCAGATCAGATTCCCTGTAGCCAGTAGTTCTCTCAACTTTGCCTGCACATGAAAGTTACTTGGGAAGTTAAAAGAATTTTTTGTGACCTTGAATGAAAAAAAATGATCGACTGAACTTCATCAAGTCTTGGACCTTTGTTCTTGGAAAGACTTTTTTTTTTTGAGACAGAGTCTCGCTCTGTTGCCCAGCCTAGAGTGCCGTGACATCAGCGTAGCTCACAGCAACCTCAAACTCCTGGGCTCAAGTGATCCTTCTGCCTCAGCCTCCCGAGTAGCTGGGACTATAGGCATGCGCTGCCATGCCTGGCTAATTTTTTCTATATATATTTTTAGTTGTCCATATAATTTCTTTCTATTTTTAGTAGAGACGGGGTCTCGCTCTTGCTCAGGCTGGTCTTGAACACCTAATCTCAAACGATCCACCTGCCTCTG